TTATTATTATTCCCAATCTATGGAAAACCATAAAAAACATGTTCCAAACCACCAGCAATTGTTCTATCGCTATGTCAGATGAGTATCAATTAACAGTGGCGAAGCCCAGGGTGAAACCCTACGGATCCAACCCCTCAGCATGGAGGCTTCACCTTCGCAAGCCGTTAGCGGCGCTACAATACCATCTGTAAGATGACTGGATCCCTAGAGATAGTATACCCCTCTTCATTCATGACAAAATATGGTTGCTTATCTACCACGTTTCAACCCATGCGGGAAGAGAAATCTCATTGGAATGGAACACCTTAATCATCAGGGATGTTAACCTCAAGTAATTAGAAAAAATTGTAAAACAATGATTCGACTGACCAAAAAAGGTTCAAAGATATTCCATTTCATCTCACTCCACAGGAATCCAGCTTGTTTCGCCTACCCGGTCACCTCCATCAAACATAGACATAGCAATGGGACGTCTTCCTTTATTACATACATGTTTTTCCCACTAAAACCTCCATGTTTGTAAGGAATTTCCATGGTGTCGCTCCTCATCTTAAGGCCACCGGGACTCCCTACAGCTTGGGTACAACCCAACCAATGCCTGAGCCGCAGAAAAAGGCTGAAATAAGGTCAACTCTATGGTTTATAGCTATTCAAAAACTATAGTTACATGGGTAATGAAGCAACACATATATATCTGGCAAGCACCAGTTTCTGCGGATTTAAACAACATGGGGGTGAAATCAAACCAACCTGTTTTTCCTCAGTTTATTTCAAGTTGATCGGCTTTAGATACCCTCTGGTAGATGGCCTGCGGTGCGTAGACTGCCCTGTGGTTTTGTAGTTTTTGCACACTTTTTGGTTAGGGTGGGGCGGGGTGGGGCGGGGCTAATAACGTCATGTGTTTTGCGTTCTCACACGGATGCTGCACTACTGTACGTTCTCTTGCAGTTCCACAGATGTGTCATGCCACCTGAGCACATCTTCACATGGATTTCGTGGGTGGGTTGTGGTGGGGTTTTACATGGTTTCACTACGCACAGTTGGCCAGGCAAAAATCGTTTGTTTAAGTGTCGAAAGAATTCGGATATTGTCCATACGTTGCTTTATTTCCCGTAGAAAAAATATATGTTACGCTACATCATGTTCTCTTGTACTTAACATATTTAAGATTCATGTGACGCTACATCATGTCCTCTTGTGCATAACATACTTAACATATATGCTACACTAAATGATGTCCTTTTTTGTACTTAACATACTTAATTAACATAGATGCTACACTACGTTGTGTTTTATTGTCGAAGGAAGTTTAGAAGTCAAACTTCCGACAATATGGACAGATGAAAAGCAGAGCAGGGAAGAGGCAGAGAGAAGAGAAAGAAGAGAAGAAAGAAGAGTAGAAGAGAAAGAGTAAGAAGAAAGAAGATGGAGATGCGCGAAGCGGTAGGAAAGTCGCGAAACACTGTGTTTTTCCAATGATTTGGGGCTCCGGAGGGTCGAAAAGTAGGCTCGCTAAAGCGGCGGGTACGGAGCCAGCTGGCCAGATGAGAGATGAAAAATTGCACGCCGTTGTGGCGCGAAGCACATTTGCAAGTCAAAATGTACAAAACACCTCCGCTTCGGACCACTTTTGGAAGTTGCGATGTCGAAAAAGTGCACGCCGTTGTGGCGCGAAGAACATTTCCAAGTCAAAATGTACAAAACACCTCAGCTCCGGACCACTTTTGGAAGTTGCGATGTCGAAAAAGTGCACGCCTTTGTGGCGCGAAGCACATTTCCAAGTCAAAATGTACAAAGCACACCAGGTCCGGACCACTTTTGGAAGTTGCGATGTCGAAAAAGTGCACGCCTTTGTGGCGCGAAGCACATTTCCAAGTCAAAATGTACAAAGCACACCAGGTCCGGACCACTTTTGGCAGTTGAGATGTCGAAAAAGTGCACGCCGTTGTGGCGCGAAGCACATTTCCAAGTCAAAATGTACAAAACACTACATGTTCGCGCCACTTTTGGAGGTTCGGATGTTGAAAAAGTGCACGCCGTTGTGGCGCGAAGCACATTTCAAAGTCAAAATGTACAAAACACTACATGTTCGCACCACTTTTGGAGGTTCGGATGTGGAAAAAGTGCACGCCGTTGTGGCACGAAGCACATTTCGCAGCCAAAATGTTAAACACCAGGGGTTCGGACCACTTTGGAGGTTCAGATGTCGCTTCGCTTCACTACACTACAGTACGCTACACTACACTCCACTACACTACGCTCCACACTACATTACACAACACTACAACTACAACTACACAACTACACTCCACTACGCTCCACTACACTCCACTACACTCCACTACACTAAATTACACTACACTACACTACATTACACTACACTACACTCCACTACAACTACAACTACACTCCACTACACTCCACTACACTAAATTACACCCCGCTACACTACATTACACTACACTACACTCCACTACACTACATTACACTACACTACCTTCCACTACACTTCACTACATTACACTACACTCCACTACACTACAACTACAACTACAACTACAACTACGACTACGCAACTACACTCCACTACACGAAATTACACTACACTACACTACATTACACTACACTACATTCCACTACTCTCCACTACACTACACCACATTACACCACACTACATTACACCCAAAGACTCTGCACCACAGATAGACAGGTAGACAGATAGACAGATAGATAGACAGACAGGTAGACAGCTAGACAGATAGACAGATGAAAGAGAGAGAGAGTGAGAGAGAGAGAGAGATAGATAGATAGATAGACAGATAGGTAGATAGATAGATAGATAGAGATAGATATAGATATAGATATAGACATAGATATAGATATAGATATTATTATAGATATAGATAGATAGATTGATAGATAGATAGATAGATAGGTAGATAGATAGGTACATAGATAGGTACATAGCTAGATAGATAGATAGATAGATAGATAGATCGATAGATAGATACATAGAAGATAGGCTGGTAGGTAAGTAGATAGTCAAAGAAAGAGAGAGAAAGAGAGGAGACCTCAAGCACCTTTCGGTCCATCAGTGGATTCGCTCTGCCATTCCTGATTCACAACAGCCAATCTCTCCTACAGGTTTCCTATTTTTGAAATTTCCGCCACCGCCTTGTGCGGTACTACTGGTACTTAACATACTTAACATATATGCTACACTACATCATGCCCTCTTGTACTTAACATACTTAACGTACATGCTACGCTGCATCAAGTTCTGTTGTACTGTGACCAACGCCATGGAGAAAAAATGATGCTGAACCGAAGTAGCTGCGTCAAATCCAAAGACTACAAACTTTGCAATTTTAGCCTCTAATAACATCTAATAACCACTGTCAAAACAACAAAAATTTGATTCATGTGAAAACCACTGTAACGGTGTACTTCAATCAGTGCCGAAATTTATTGAAATTCGCAAAACGACACAGCTGTCTATGCACGGTTGTCCTATAGTTCACATGGCCACGGAAAGCCACCGTTTCTCATTGTCATAGTCAAATCATACCAAACTATTTTTGCGCCATGGCTTCCGTGGCTGCGCCAAATGATCAAAGGGTAAATCTCAACAATTGGATATACGCCACCTAAGTATAAGCAAACACCTACAATCACCTACACATGCAACAAATTCTCATCTATCTGAACAAATATTGCAATTCACAAACCCGGAAAATGCTGTCATTTGGATGCATTTGGGGACACTTGTCCCAATTCATTCACCATCATGTACAGTTTCGTCGCGGTGAGGTCGTTATCATCTATCCGCATATATTTTGCACGTTTATCAAATCACCCCAACAATTGGTTTTAGACACGTGGCATTGAAACAAAACTTCGGTACTCTGGTGAATGTCTTAAATTTATAGTTAACTAAATACTAAGAGCACCTCCGGTAGTACAACATGGAAAATCATCTAAAAATGGGGGATGTTCCATTACCACCTTTGATTCCTGGGAAGAATTCACTTAAATTTGGTGCAACTGGTTTTGCACATCCTCATGCGACATCCTCAGTACCGTTTGGTATCTTCGAAGGAAGTTTAGAAGTCAAACTTCCGACAATATGGACAGATGGAAAAGCAGAGGTGGGGAAGAGTCAGGGAAGAGAAGAGAAGAGCAGAGAAGAGAAGATAAGAGAAGAGAGAAGATCAGAGAAGGGAAAGAGTCAAAAGAAAGAAGATGCAGGTGCGCGAAAGGTAGGAAAGTCGCGGCTCACTGTGTTTTTCCACTGATTTGTGGCTCCGGAGAGTCGACAAGTAGGCTCGCTAAAGCGGCGGGTGCGGAGCCATCTGGCCGGATGAGAGATGAAAAACTGCACGCCGCTGTGGCACGAAGCACGTGTCCAACTCAAAATGTACCAAAAAAACCTCATGCTCGGACCACTTTTGGAAGTTGAGATGTCGAAAAAGTGCACACCGTTGTGGCGCGAAGCACATTTCGAAGTCGAAGTCAATAGTGCGAAAAAACTGATGGATGGAACACTTTTGGACGTATAGATCTTGTTTTGCGTGGCAGGCGCAATGGTCAAAAGTGAGCAAAACGTGGGGGGTTTTGTAGCAGTTTCAAAAACGATGGCAGGCGTGGGACATAGGCAGAGGATCTGGCAAGATGCATTTCGCGTGGCACGCGCAGTACAAGAGACATGTTCATCAGAGATGTTAGGAGGTCAGGGCGCTGATTTCCTAAGAGGGGTTGCATTTTGGAGCATCAGATCTTCAGGTTTGCTAAGATGATTTTGCGTGACAGGCGCAGCACTGCACTTCGTATGACCTGGCCTCACTTTTTCGTGGCAGGCGCAATACTTTAAACTGATGGACTCAAAAAATCGCAAAACGCATGGGTAGGAGGCCGTCAACTCTGCACTCCACTTCCCATTTTTGAGAAAAATCTCGCAGAATTGCTTCGTTTTTGATGTTGTCAACTTAAAAAATGAGGAAGTCTCGCAGACTTGCTTCGTTTTCGACGTTGTCAATCAAGCCAAAAATTGAGGACGTCTCGCAGAATTGCTGCGTTTTTGATGTTGCCAAGTTCAAAAACTCAGGAAGTCTCGCAGAATAGCTTCGTTTTCAAGCTTGCAGATTGCAGATCCACAGGTAGATAGACAACTACAACTACAAATACAATAATACAACTACACTACACTACTACTACAACTACAAACTACATTACGCTACACTAATTACATTACACCACGCTAATTACATCTAATTACACTAAACTATGCTGCTTACACTACAACTACAACAACTACTACTACCACGGCTGCAACTACAATTACAACTACACCATATTACACTACACTGCGCTAATTACACTGCAGTACGCAACAACTACAAAAAGAAATGCAGCTGCGACTACACTACATTACACAACAACACGCTACACCAATTGCATTACATTACTGTACACTACAACTACTACTCCGCTACACTACAACTACAACTACAACTGCCGCACACCACACCACTCCACACCACACCACATCCAGCAGTTGTGTGGGAGGTGACCCACTCCAAAAAACACAACTCCAACCACCTTTCGGTCCATCAGTGGGTTCGCTCTGCCATCCATGCATCACAACAACTCACCAGTGTCCTATCTTTGAAACTTCCGCCACCCGCCTTGTGCGGTACTACTGGTATGGGTGAACGATGATAGGGATTGGGATCATCACTTTTAACAAATTGAATATGATGGAATATTAAAACAAAAACCCACTCATTACTGGTTGATGGTTTTAACTTTTAACCATCTTGAAAAATATTAGTCAATGGGAAGGATTATCCCATATATTATGGAAAAATGTTTGAAACCACCAATCAGATTTAAGTAGACCCACTCAAATTCCATTATAGCAACTCACGTGGAAAATCATGAAAAAAACATCTTTAGCACCATACCCTCTGGTAATTTAACATAGCTTTAAAAAAACACATCGTTTTTTGGAAAATCATGCAAAATCGTCATCAATCATCTTTGCCTGGTTGGTGGTTTCAACCCCTCTGAAAAATATTAGTCAGTTGGGGATATTATTCCCAATATATGGACAAATGTTTTAAACCACCAACCAGACTTTGTAAATGCCTCATCTTCCCGGACGCCTTTTGTGAAATTACCGGAGCCTTTGCCTCGAAGTTTTTCTGATTTTTGCCCATTAAATCCCTGGATGTCTTTCTCATATTACCCTCTGGTAATTTGTTACATAGCTATTGAAAATGGTGATTTATTGTTGATTTACCCAGCTACAACATGGTGGATCTTTCCATCGTTTTTGTGGCTGTTTACCAGAGGGTAAATCCCATGAAATCCCATGAAGCCCCAATGAGATCTACACAAATCTACACGAAGGCGCGATGGAAACTTCCAGAAATCGGCCCAAAGAGTTGCGGCACCTCACATCTGCGCAGACAAGATCTTCCACCTCAACATCTTCAGCCTGAACGACAGGATGGGGTGTGAACCGGAAAAAAACAACCGTCCAAGGCTGGGAATCAAACAGTTTGTAATGGCAAATTATGGGAAAATGCCATTTGAGTTCGATAAACATAGCATGATTTACCCAATAGACATATTGTGATGTTCCAGTTCGCTATGTTAAATCACCAGAGCGTATCTCCCTAAAAGTCCCATGTTTTGGTACCTGAGTAAGGAACCATCATTCATCACATGCCGATCCGAAAAAAGATTCCCCAGCTTCTGCCAATGGTGATGGTCATATGATAGTCATATGGTCATCCTACGAGTTTTCATGAATTGTCCTATCCATGTTGTGGAAAAAACACACAAGATGAATATATCTGCATATATCATAATATATCATCCAACTCCCCAACTCCGCACCATGGCACCATGGTTTGTTTTTACCATTCAAAATGGCTGCATCCTGCAAGTTTTCCTTCCGATTTTGGGAAGTGGTCAGCATGTTTCCCGAGGAACCCATAGAGGCTTCGACATCGAGAGATTCTGCGCATATGTCTACTAAATTTTGATGAACAATTGCCTCATTCAAGATGCTTGGGAATCCCAAGCTTCAGAACCTGGCTTCAAATCTGGAACTTGGACCTTATATCAGCACAATTCTCCATGTCTGCTGCGCTAGATCTATATTGACCCGCAACTTGATGATGGTCGCTCTTCGGGTGTCGTTGCCAATCTCGTGGTCTGGCAGCAGGCATTCGTTTGTTTGGAGGTCTTCGTTTCGTCATAGGGGTACCCCCAGTTCTCATCCATTTATAGATGGTATTTTCCAAAAATGGGGGATTCCCAATAGCTGGATGGTTTATAACATGGAAAATCCCATCTATAAATGGATGATTTAGGGCTACCCCTACAAGTATGACTTAGGAAACCTCCATATGCTTTTCTCATCTTTTCTCTGCTCTTTGAAGCCCTTCCTCAGACGCGGCAGGAAAAAAAACACGCACGCTGAAGACCACTCTCCAATTCAACATGTCGTGATAGTCTTCAGGTGATATCTTGGTTGCGGGTCAGTCAAACCACAGCCTTGGCATGTTTTTATGTCTTGCCCATATTCTTGCATGGTAAATTTTGAAATGCATCAATTCCACCACTTACCAATAGGATCCGTGTATGGTATAGATGCTAACATTGGGGATATATTGATGGGATCCATGTTACCATATAGCAGCACCATGGATCCTATGGGCTATTGCTGATCTGGAATCGCCCAACAATTGTGGCGTATTACTGGCTTTAAGTTTTGGCAAAATACCCATCATTGTTGGTACGGCTTGGGGGTGTCAGTCAGTATTGCCCTTTTAGAAACAAAATAGAGGGCCCGGTTTGGTTTCCTATTTACCATCATCTACTGATAAAGGTTGTTGAATGGGGAGAAGCCTTTCAACCAACCAGATACTAACCATCTACATTCATTTGTGAAAAATATATTGATATCATCTGTAAACAGTGTTGAAACTGTTTATTAAAAGTTGATCATAAAACTGGGAAAACACAATTTTCATGTAAATGTAGATGATGGCTATCATACACCGTATATTGAAATTGATTATCATCGACATTAATCAACCATCATCAACCAACCACTGGGAAGAAGGACATCGCCACGTCAGTTCTCCCCCGCCTGGCTTTTCACCATGCCAGCACGCTGTAGCCTGGGGAAAAAATGAGGTGCAAGTTACGCACGTTTCGTCGCTAGGAAAATGATAGATTGGAAAAATATGGTTTCTGTGTCTGCATATGAATTGATACAAATACAATCACATACACATACTTATATATAATCGTATATTATAATACATATACGTTTGATTCAATGAAAAATGAAGACAACTTAACAACAACTTAACAACCTGAACATCAAACACTATGTCTTTCCGTGGTTACCCTTACCTACACCATCGTTTTTCAGAACAACGACGTGACTTGACCGGCGATGCTGAGCAAACTTCCCAATGGCCCATTGGGGGGTTCCGTTTCGTCATGGGGGTACCCCCATAGCTGGATGGTTTACAATGGAAAATACCATCTGGTTGGTGGTTGAGCCGCCCCTCTGATAAATATTAGTCAGTTGGGATTATTATTCCCAATATATGGAAAAAAATGTTCCAAACCACCAACCAGCCATTATATAAAAAATGGATGAGAACTGGGGGTACACCCATGACGAAATGGAAACATCCATATGTTTATGGTATTTATGGTAGTTGCTGATGTTGTTTCTTCAAAGGATATACAATACTTGCATGTACTTGCTATACGTAACCAACACTGGTACATGGGCTTTATATTTGCTGTGGATGGACAAAATCCTGCACCAGCTGGTAATTATTGGTAACTATGAAACACTATTATAATGGGATAAACCATCTACCAACCGGTGCAGGGTTTCTTCCATCCACAGTGTGATACAACTTATGAGTAGTTGAATAGTTTGTTGCAATCCTCGAGTTCAAACCTAAGGACGTCTGCCATAAATCCAGCTACAAAATCCAACTCCTTAAATTGTTGCCTATCATATAATCTGTATCCAGTTATACTCCATCTAAAACGCAAAAAACACATTAAAAAACAATCTATGTGGACCAGTTGGCCCTTAAAAATCCAGTGAAATAGTTTTAAGTGTTACAAATCCAGCTATATAGTCAAATTGCTAGTTATACATATATAAATCTACAGTAACTATACATTTAGCATCATGTGGCTTACTTTTTTCTCCTCAACCGGCCCAAGGCATCCCATGGCGCCCATGTCCCGGGCTTCCGGCAGAGGTGTGACAGAGCCAGCGATGGAACCGCTGAGGGACTGCAGAGTCTTCAGGCCAGGCGTCGCCTGAAATCTGGATGGTCCACATGATGGCTGGACACCAACCAGATAAAGAACATATCCTGGATTTTTTTAGGAACTCCCAAAAGGAAATCTAGAAGAAAACCATGATAACCTGGTTGGTGGTTTCAACCTACCCCTCTGAAAAATGACGGAGTTAAAGTCAGTTGGGATGATGACATTCCCAACTGAATGGACTGTCATAATCCATTCATGTTCCAAACCACCAAGCAGATACAGAAGAGCATTTCTCACCTTTTCAAAAGGATATACCGATAGAACTACGAGATCTTCTGAGAAAATCCAGGATTTCTTGGAGATAAGCACCAGCTCATCATTGCTTGGAACCGTGACTGGAGAGTGCACAAAAAAAAACAAACAGCGATGATCAATAATGATCCGGAAGGAATTTGAATCAACCTAAGTAGTGTCATTGAATAAACTCAGATTGGAAGAAGAACTAACATCAACTAACATCAACACTCCGATACTTCTATTCGGAATCAACTAACATCAACTAACCATAACCACTCAACCAGCCAAAAGACACAAATGGGAAGTACCCATCCAATGAAAACAGAGAAAGTAGGGATTTGAATCAGCCAAAAAGGCAAGAATTTTCGATATTTGAGTTTTTATCGTGTTTTACCTGACATGTTGAAAACAACAAGAAAAAACTCGGTGTTGAGTGTTGACTAAACATGGAACCAAAACAATGGTTTGAAAAAGAGTTTTGGGATTTGAGACCAACATAATGTCGATCAAAATGGGACAGCAACCATATAGCATTTTTTCCGACTGACAGTTGTATGAACACTTCTAGCAGTTTAGAGTATCCTCGGAATCAATGTACTCGTCGGCAGGTCCACCATGGGGATCTGGATATGATTTGTCGTTTGGGTTGAGCTGCCGGAAACCGGAGCAACTTAAGTGAATGATTGATGGTTTCAATCCATTTAACAAACCTCCAATGTTTGAAAATTGTGTTTCATGACACGTAACAGTTTAACATGTCGTTGTTTTACAACCCCAGAAACTATGGTTAGCATTGGTTAACTGCTCTAGCTGGTTTCAAATTAATCTATACAGCTAGTAACCCTTTGTGGATCCAATCATCATAGATTATCATCTTTACAGATGGTATCTTAAGGCTACCATGGTCTGCGTGTCATTGGAACCCCATCATATTGATTGAATTGGATTGAATCGTCCCGTGCCATCTCAAAAAATGACATTCCACTCGTCAGAGTGCCTTTGAAGAAACATAGTGTCAAGGTTTTCCGTCTGTTGAAAACATGGGCCAGTTGCACCACTTGTTCTCGATTGGTTTTGCAGAAACATCTTTTGCATTTTTTTGTACATTTGGGTCACACTTAGGGTACGCTACGGGACGCTCAGAACCAGATGCATTCAAAACATGTTCTCCGTGTCTGGCATTCCGTTCCACAGCCACACTATGGATTTGCCTGAAACTTGCACATTCCCTTAGAATCACCTGCAACATTGTTACTGTTCCACGTTTAAAACACAAACAAAAAATATCTTGGGGCATCACCCATTTTAGACACACCCTTTCGTATCACTCCTACCGATATTTGTTAATGGAAATGACCATAGAACTCATTTTGTGGGTCTGTGGCAGAAATCATTATCTACCTAAACTGTTGGTTTCTTCATTGAAAATCATGTTGGCTATATTTGCGGGGCCGAAACCAATGGATGTGCAGCCGCTATTATGCTATAAGTGAACACACCATCACGACAATGCGGTCATGTCATGTCATGTCAGTTTTTCCAACATCCCGTTCACGCCACATTCCGAGGTTTCCGACCTGGTTCATGGTACCACAAACTCAAATCACCATTTTCATGAAAGTTAAACAACTCAAAACCATGTCAAATATTTTTGTGTTCTATATCATCACCTAAATTGCATGTTGATTTGGATATATATATATATATGTATATATCAACATACATGTAGTTGAATGTAAATATTGATGAATATAATATATACTCCTTGTATTGTTGCAACATACAACTGAGATAAAAAAAATAAATAAATATATATATATATATATGTATTACGTATACATATGCACAATTATAATCAAAATTTCTAGACTCGTATATTCCCAAATTCAAGACTACGAAACCACTTGCAGCAAGACCCCGCCCCCGGGTCTCCCCAGGCAATCCCACTGCGAAGCATTCAGCTGTGGTCCTGAGTTCCCGGAGTCAAGTTGAAACAAAAAACATGTGGGTTTCCATAAATGGTGAATCCCCAAAAGCTGGATGGTTTAGTTCATGAAAAATCCTATAAAAACTGGATGAGAACCAAGCGTATCCCCATTTCAGGAAACCTCCATATGTCATAACAACTTGTGAATTCATTGATTTTCCTACAAAAAACGAAAACACATATCATTTATGGTGAATGTGGATGGTTTTCCCAATAACATCTAAGATAAATTTATCTAACAAAAAATATGATTTATTATGGCTTATTGTAACACAACAAAACATGATGTTGGTTTACACTCATCTGATATTAGCTAAATTGCTTAAAATATTGGTAAACTGTCAGTTTGGATGACGGTTGATGCAACGATAGTAGGGTTTTACAATACCAACTTATGACTTGGGGACGCCACATTCCATGGAGCACCATGGGAAAAATGTATTAAATTATAAGGGGAAGAAAAGATGATGAACCATGTCAATTTCGGGCAGCGTTTTTTCAACAAACCCCAAGCACTACAAACCTTGGATACATTGCAAAGAAAGGTCGCTGTTTGCTGGGTGCCTCATGTAAAACACAAACGGCAAATCGCACAGTGTCTGATACTTATCACCACAATTTGTCCCAATTTTATCTTACCCGGAAAAATGCTGCGCAGTTTCGGTATTTTGACAGCCCACCCAAAAAATGACTTGCCGCTCCGAACAAATGCTGCGCCATAAAAATATATTAGTAGAAAATACCACCAAAAAAAGAGATGCAGGCCGCCGTCAAACTACTGTGCCGGTTTCGGCCCTGCTGTTCTCAAATAAGGGCTGTTGATTTTGCGGTGAATGCCACTTTATGGTAGTTGCCCACATATAAACAAATCGATGTTTGCGCAAACTGATAATTTGCACTGCCATCGTGCAGGTTTGGCTTTCCCATTTAACATGTCACACACACTCGCTTATACCTAAACCTGGATCCAGCGCAACCTCCTTGAAACCCCTGTGAAATCTCATCCGATCTGCTTGCCAGGGGCGGTGGAGCACATTCTGCCGACTTGGCTGTGGCTCGAACGTCCTGGTGAGAAATCTATAGAAAATGTTGGGTGGTGTGCCACTGTCCGTTTTTTGAGGAAATTAAAGCGTGACGTATCAATGGGATTTCGGCGTTGCCAGTTGTTGGCCAAACGCGCGTACTTATATAATGTTCGCATCTGTGCCTCTGCCCTGGGATGAAGCTTTTGTTTCCTAACCCATCATCTGCAAGACGTGAAACTAAACCCACAAGATCGGATGGTGTTCGCGCAGGTCACATGCAGTGGCTTTGGGCGTGGCATGCACGAAGCAAAGGAAACAATTTGCACAATACGAATGGCAGAATCGCCCAACCGCAAAGGTCAAGACACACATAGTCAGAGCGTTTACCCTCTGGTAAACTAACATAACTATGGAAATTCACCATTTTTAATGGGAAAATCCACTATAAATGGCCATTTTCAATAGCTATGTTAAATTACCAGAGGGTAATCCTTCTCTCCAGTGTGACCTGTTCGTCTGATCCCTGTGAAAACTCTCAGTTTCTTGAGATTTACATCTATAGTTTCTATGGACTTTTTTATCGGAAATTCCGCTGCCAGAAATCGACCAGATTTTGCCAGTTCCGTGCTGAAATTCTGCAGCTACAAACGTTTTTCCGCAGATCTGATTGGTCATTTGTTGAATGTAAAGATTCCCATTGAACAAAAAAGGGGGATCAGGTTGAGCTGTTTTTGCAGGATTTCCCAGGTTTTGAATGCTGAAAAACATTTGCCAAAAACTCAAATCAAACGCATAAGATGTTCTTTGGTCAGGTCATTTTTTGCCACCCTCCTTGTGATGTTTTAAAATGTGTTTTTCTAGGTGTATCTACAAACGTGTTTCTTACATGCCATTTACATCTATTTACCGCTTCTTGAGGCCAACTTCGCAGTGATTTCCCTCATTATAATGCCATGGTAAGGTACATTCTATGGTTGAACGATAAAAACAACACAAAAAACATGCCCAGGCCCGGGCAATCCAAAGGTGCTTTAGAGGTGGATTTCACTGTTCCCATTGTGTCCCCTAGGCAGCTGCATTTCACAGCAGGGCCCTAAGAACCCGGGAATCTAAAATCTGGGCTTCTCAAATCCCAATTCAAGTGTCTTTTCTCCATCATTAATTGATTCATTGTGTCGTTTTTTCGAAACTGAGGCTCTGGAGTCCCCCGTGGAACATTCCCTCGGATCTTCGACGATGGTGACACGACTCCCAAAGAGGACCAGTCGATGGACCGCAATGATCATCCACCCAAGGGGCCGCGATATCGCCGCAAAATTTTGACCCATACCACCCACAAAAAGAATCAAAAAGACATACCCTCTGGTTATGTCAAAATAGCTATTGAAAATGGCCATAGAAATAGTGAGATTTCCCATAACAAATGGTGATCTTCCATAGTTTTTTGTATGTTTACCAGAGGGTATCCTGGGCTCAGCTGGTGATAAAAAAAACAGAAACATCGAACTGCCGTACTTTGGATACTTGAGCCAGCCGGAGTTGTAGGGACCACCCCCGAAAATGGTTTCAGCAAACCTCCCAAGTTGGCCGACACTGAAGGCAAGCGACTTGGGCTAAGAGGCTGCGTATTTCGATGCGGAAACCGCTGAAACCATCCCATGAATTGGGGGGTTGACGTTTGACCTAGCTCGAGCTATATCAACTCAACTTAAATGGATCCCCAAGTGAAAAGACTTGCAACTGGCCAGCATCCACATATGGATCCACCAATGCTGTCTTTGCAACTGGCCAGCATCCACGGGTTTCAATATTAAAAATATATCCAAAATGGTCTAACCCATATGCTCCATGGTGCTAGTATATTTACCTACATGACTGGGTCATTTAATTATGGGGTAAATGTTGGTAAATATTCCAGCACCATGGAGCATATGGGTAATTTGGATGATTCGGGGATAGCTCCACAAATCCGAATCCGCAATTACCTGACCGCCCAGGGATGGACGGTACAAAAATATGTGGCCCGCAATTCTGGTAATTACACGGAAATTGCTTTCATGGTTCGTTTCACAATACCCTCTGGTAAACATACAAAAAGCTATGGAAAATCACATTTTTTAATGGGAAAACTCACTATTTCTATGGCCATGTTCAATAGCGATGTTAAATTACCAGAGGGTAATTTGCGGCAACAACCTGTCGCGGACTTCGTGGGGGTCCGTGGAAAAGAAAAACCGTTTCGTGCGAGGAAACACAGGCTCCGGGCAAACGTCCGGATCTGCGCGCAGCATTTTAGGAAACCTCCATGTGGTCATATCAACTCAAAAACAGAGGGTCATTTGGCAGTGTCAAAACCTTGTACCCCTGTAGTTCACATCAAAATAGCTGGGATTTATGGATGTTCATCCCCCTAAAAATGGTATTAATAGGTATTGATCCATACCCATTTCAACCCAAGTCATCCAGTTTTTCTCCCCTCGTGTTGCTCCTCATATTGTCGCACAGCACCTGGGCGTTGCGGCCAAAATGACCATGAAATCGTTGGGAAGATTGTGTTTTACACTGTTCAAAACGATTAAACCATGAATTTGTTCCACTTAAATTATTGGACATCCATTTTGTGAAGTGATTAAAAGAGCGTCTCAAAAAAATGATGCAAAAGATCATGCGTCATTGAAACCTAGCAGACCTAGCAGCCATGATTGTGAAGAAAATCGTTGCAAGGATCAATTCGTTTCGACATAAGAAACTCTTGATGATCTTGTGGCCCCCCCTTATGTGCAACTGCCATGCTGGACCTGTTGTACCCACCTGGATCCCAGATGGCTATGTCCTGAAAGTGAAAACCGTGGCTGGAAAATCGGAACCTCCCCGAAGTCAATGGAGGTTTTATGCAACAAGAATCATAGATAGATATAGACCCTCTGGTAATTTGTTACATAGCTATTGAAAATTGCCATTGAAATAGTTCATCTACCTATTCAACATGGTGGTTTTGCTTATAGTTTTTTGTATGTTTACCAGAGGGTAGATGGGATTTACCATTGCCATGTTCGACTTGCGATTCACTGACGACTGGAGGTTTCAGCACAAGTCCAGACCATTAGCATGTCAGTTTACAAAAACTGTTTGCCATAGCATATAATGATAATTAATAAACATATGTGATATATATATATGATATATATATATATATATATACGATATATATATATATGATATATATATATATATGATATATATATGATATATATATATATATATGATATATATATATATGATATATATATATATATGATATATATATATATATGATATATATATATATATCATATATATATGACATATATGACATATGTTATATAGTAAATATAATATGTGTATATATAATGCAATAATATATATATATAATATTATATATAATACAATATGATATAATATAAAAAATCCATATTATATATAATATGTATAATATATATATATATAGTATAAAACATATGCAATACAATATATATAATATAATATATATTATATATAATATAAAATATATTATATATAATGTAAAATAATAAAATATAATATGTTAATATAATATAATATAATATAATATAATAATATATGTATAATCTATATTAAATAGATTATCTATATTAAATAGATTATCTAATATATATATGTATATATAATCTATATATACAATACATAATAAAATATATTGTATAATATATATATACACATAATATGTTATATAATATATATATATATATGTTACTATAATATGTATGTTAAGCTTTGTCTGAAAATAGCCCCCCCTAAACTGTCTATGCTTCGGTTCCTCATTTTTCCTATGAACATGTAGCCATCACTCGGGGGTTATCACGTCAAGGAGACACCTAGCCTTATTGGATGAGAAGGCAAGAGTCAGGATTAAGCGTCAGGATTGATAAACACTGCGATGATATAGTTTTATGTGAATTATATGTTATATTGATTAACAATGATTTGTATATAACATTATATATATATATGTATTATCTGGTTGGTGGTGTACCTACCCCTCTGAAAAATATTAGTCAGTTGGGATGATTATTCCCAATATATGGAAAAATATGTTCCAAACCACCAACCAGGTCTGTTCATTGATATGGTTCTATTCTATAATGATAATGGTTGATATGTTTGGATCATCAAACATCTAACCCAGGGATACAACAACCCTCATGGACAAAAACAACACACTATGAAAATCAGGGTCCCAATCAGATTCGAAACCCATGGTAGCCTTGAAATACTATCCGAAAAAGGCGATGAGTGGATTTTGAGGGCTTACCATTGACTAATTCGAAATCACATTAGCTAATGATAGCTTTTGCTTATTAATAAATATTAGTTGACCTTGGTAGTACTATACCCTCCAGTAAATTAACACAGACCCTGGCAGATAGGGGTTGGAAGACTGGTTTCCACTAAAAATGTCTTATTTTCAGGGTCTATGTTAATTTACCAGAAGGTAATTACTGTCCAATCTGAGAGTTCTCACAGAGCAGAGGATCCAGACTCAGCAGGGCAAGCTCTGATGTGCTGTGCTCAACTGCAGAGCCACCTGGTCCAATTGTGGGATACGGGGGATTGATCAGCCCTACACCTCACTGGCGTCGACCCAACTATGTGTTAAGGTTTATAACATGTTATTACCTTTATGGAAACTATAGTTGTAAATAATAGATAATAATAGTATTATCTTCCTAGTATCCTGTAACCATACACCCATACCATCTTATACATTTATATCATGTTATATCCTTCCAACCGGCAACCGGCGAGTTCGTTATCTCCATCAATTCAACAGCCTACGGCCAAATAAATACCAGTCATTTGACCTGGGAAGCGTTGGAAACGTACCTGGGCTGGGACCAACCAAATCCCCCTTGGAAACAATGAAATCTCAATGGATTCTGGGATACATTGGATTTCATCATCCAATGATTAGTACAATTACTGCTTGGTGGTTTCAACCTACCCCTCTGAAAAATATGAAAGTCACTTGGGATGATTATCCCACATATTATGGAAAAATAAATGTTCCAAACAACCAACCAGTTTTGTATGAAACAATGAAATACCAATTTTACCCATCACTGCAAAGAAAAATGATCGCAAAGTTGCATCATATGCATTTGTTTGCTTGTAAAAAACCAGGATAACCTATAGTATCACAACCCTAGCAGCACAATTGCACCCGTGTGAAACTGATTGTCCCCCTACGTTGCGTGGTTTCACATGTAAAGAAATGACCTATCATTGGTGGGTCCATTATTATCGCAACTATATTTGAGCCGTAGCCAGCTAGCTCACTCTATCTCACCATGCATTCTATATAAATGGCTAAACAAAAACCCCAAAAGCAGCAACAACATACAAACATCCACCAAAAGCAGCCCCAAATGGTTTACCCACCAACATCAGGGAACATGGTTTACAGCATCCAAGTGTATCTTTGCGTGAGCCATGAAACACACCCCGTTTCCCCATCCCGCTACATAGTGATTGGTAAATATCCCGATCCCGTTATTATGGGTAGTATCATGACCCCCACTAGACCAACTGGCAACTGGGTTAATAACTTTGTATTTTATAACCAATCAACAGGGGAAATATTGATGGCATACCAATAAGCATGTGAACTTTTCTCTGAAGATAGGCTACCCTCTGGTAAACTGTCACATAACTATGGAAAGATCCACCATTTTCAATGGGAAAACTCACTATTTCTATGGTCATGTTCAATAGCTATGTCAGCTATGTTTACCAGAGGCTACCCCGCCATTCCATCCCCTGGCTCGCACACCTCCAGCAGTCAGCTCGTGACCCAAGTTTCGACCTCAGGCGTGCAGCTGAGTGAATGATACATGGCCTGGTCAACAAACAAAAAGCTATTGAAAATGGCCATAGAAATAGTGGAATTACCCATTAAAAATGTTAATTTTCCATACTTATGTTAGTTTACCAGAGGGTACCCTCTGGTGCTCTCCTCTCCTGTCCTCTCCTGTCCCCTCCTTTGTTCTTTTTCTCTCCCTCTGGTTTGGCTGTAAATGGCTTCATGCTTTCAGCGCACTTCAGTCAGCACTGCGTTGAAGAGAGTCTAACCCACATGTTTTGTTGCCATCCACCAGCTGCTCAGATTTGCTATGGAGCTGGTTCACTGGTTAGTAGCTAGGTTCTAGACGAACTTGATGGCACCTCTGGGTCATGAATTTTCATCCGCCCAGTTGGAATATCCCCAGTGAAATGGTTATTGTATATCATGCTTGCTTTTGATCTACTAAGAGATCGTTTGAGGGTAAATGTTAGGTTTTTACATGTACTTACATGTCTAAGCCTAAAAAGGCGTTAAACATTTAAAAAAAAACATGTGTAACACACTGCAATAGCTGCAATTCATCATTTACGCCATCTTTCAGCAACCCATTCTGTCGCTAGGGGATCTACACAGAACAGATTCTGCGGCACCATCCATTGGAATCCGCTCCCATTTTATAAATTCCCATGAAAAATAATAGTGGTGAAATATGGTGAAATGGCGAAATGCCTCATAAACCATAGAAAATCTGGTTGGTGGTATATCAACCCCTCTGAAAAATCATGGAGTTCAAGTCAGTTGGGATGATGAAATTCCCAATATATGGTGGAAAGTCATAAAATTCATGTTCCAAACCACCAACCAGCTATGGCTTCTCCAAAATCATTCATTTTAATAGGGTTTTCCATTGCAAACTATCCAGAAACCATAGATAATCATATGCCCATATGCTCCATGTATAGTATATTTACCTACATGTGGCTCAATTATAGGGTAAATGTAGGTAAATATTCCAGCACCATGGAGCATATGGGATATATAGTTATTGGACTTCTGTTCACCAACTTTCAGCGATTTCGTGGCCACGCGGGCCCCACAGGGGCCCCACAGGGGCCCCACTGGACTCGCACCTACCTACTCGGCTCCCTTGCGCGCCAAGTCTTGCAAGGCTTGCAGCCGTTTCAGCTGCTTCTTGCGCAGCGATGCGGTCACCCGTGACCACCTCAGCGGTTTTTTGAAAAAACACGGGCGAAATGGCGAAATGGTCTGACACTTGGGAATTGATGTTATAAAATAAAAAGAAATATGAAGCACAATAATATATATATATATATATATTTATCATAGTATTACATATATAATCATGTATATGTATAGCATTATTGATCATTATTGTTATCTTGATCATCATATTGTCATGGTCATTCTTTCCATGATCACTGTATCATTGTGTACTCCACGTGGTGCTTGGTGTTTCAACATGTTTTTCCACACCCTCGAAGATTCGTCGATGGGATCATCCCCGGATTCATCAACCATGGTTTATTAAGGGGTACTTTTCGCACGGCCGTAAGCGGGGGTTGTTCATCCAGGGTTGACATTGCTAATACCATCCATATATATATAATCTATACCATATATATAGTATATATCATATAATACCCATATTACTGATACCAGATAGTCAAAAATGGTGGTCAACAGGACCACCATGGCCATCCATGGCTTCTGACCGAACCCTCCATGGATTTGGATAATTGACCGAACTGAACAATGGTGATTTTCCATTAAACAACCAGAGGGTATACCCTCTGGTAATTTAACATAGCTATTGAAAATGGCCATTTATAGTGGATTTTCCCATTAAGAATGGTGATTTTCCATAGTTATGTTAAATTACCAGAGGGTATAGTTGAAACCGAAGGAATCCATAATATTCCATAATAAATAAAGAACGAAACTATGGTAACATGATCAGCAAACTATATCCCCTTGTGGCTATTCTTCACTTTTGTGGGATATGTTTTGAACCCTGATCATCATCGGGTTTCATGCAAAAAACACCACATCATGTACTTGATCAGGTAAAATATCCGATGTAAATATGCCATTTATACAAAAACATATAACTATAGTTATACATGTATACCATGCATACGATATCAAAAACCAGGGGTAATATCACTTAATATCCCATTTGTATCTCAATAAAACAAAGTAATATATATATATGCTATAGAAATTTTATGAATATGTATACCTGGTTGGTGGTTTCAACCCCTCAAAAAAATGAGTTCGTCAGTTGGGATGATCATTCCCAATATATGGAAAAATAAAATTCATGTTCCAAACCACCAACAAGTACATAGTTATTGGACTTATGTTCCAAACCACCAACCATATATATATATATATAGAATTTGTATAAATATGTGTACTTTTATATCCCATTCCCCAGGATTATTGGATATTCATGTCAACAAACTCGTTCCCTCCACCAAGGAACAGGATGCTGAGCCCCAGCAGGGCGCCCAAATCCACAAAGCAAGTCATACACGTCGCGTCCACGAAACGTGTTACAGTAGTTATGCAAGACAATGAGTAATACTATGCTGGTTGTTGGTATACCTACCCCTCTGAAGAGTATGAAAGTCAATTGGAAGGATTATCCCATATATTACATGGGAAAAATGTTCCAAACCACTAATCAGAACATGTGAATATAACATGTGATATACAGATTGATAATGTGGAATTCAATATTTTTTCGCTCTGCGATATATCATGATAAACATCTCATAACAAAAATGGCAATGGATGATGATGGATCTTTGCTTGTTTATAAACCAATCAGATTGACCAACAAATCCTGAATCGTTCATATCCATCCAAATGCCCACATGGGCCACAGAAACCCCAATTTGGCAATTTCGCGAATTTGATATGACATGGAATGCATATTTAAGGGGCAATGTGTGTTTGAAACCACATTTTTTTGTTGGGAAAAACCATGGTTTCTGGTTAAGAGCAACAACCAGTGAACCATTCCTGAATTTCCATGTCGCTTTTTCTATGTTCACAGGAGGCTAACTGCGCTCTCCGGAAATCCGTCAACAGGTCTTGAAGGGTTAACCTGGTTTTGGCCGAAAAAAACATTTACCCTCTGGTTATGACTAACATAGCCAACTGGAAAATCACCATTTTTAATAGGTAAACCATCTATAAATGGGCAATTTTCCATGGCTATGTTAAATAACCAGAGGGTATACCCCGTTTATGACCGTTTTAAAAGAAACAATGATGATACCCCAATGTCGTTGAAGCTTGAACCCAGCAGCGAAATCAATGCAGTCCATGATTCAAAAAATATCGCATGGTTAGCTGGAAAAAAAAAACAGAAAATGATGCGCAAATGTTTTTTCTCCGCGTTCAAAACCTGCGGCGCAAGATCGTCTACATCCCCACAGACCCTGCATTCAAACAGCCGGAATTTATCTGCCATTTAGAGGGGATGATCATGGATTATCCCATTCAAACCTTCATTTATATTGGACAAATTGCCATCACTACCGGATGTTTTTTTTTTCCAAGGTGCCCAGCCAGTGATGTTTCTTGGTCTATTAATATCTTTAATTATGAATATATCAATATCTACCATAAAGCCAACAGATATTGGAATGAACTGTGGGTCCCAAGTGTTGTCTGTTTGTAAACCCCTTTAACTAGTTCAATATATAGCCCAGAAACCCAGCAGTTCACCAAGTAACGGAAAAACCAACTTATCCATGATACATTCCCATTCTATTCCCTGTATGCCATCATTGTTGGTAGTTAAATCCAAACTACTTCTACGGAAAGGTACCCAAATTTCAATATCCACTGATCCACTAAATCACTATATCATATTGATGTATTATCTCTTGACATGTTACTTGGATTTGCTTACATAAGGACACCCTCGCAAAACATAGAACATCTATTCCCTAAACAGTCGCAAAAAAAAACACGGTGGAGGTTCCCATTGGAAACATCAAAATCATCATCGACTCGGCAATTCTTGACATATATTATCATATATATATACACGATATATATATATATATATATATATATATACATATCATATATATATATGATATATATATATAATATCATATATTAATCATATTACCTATGACTGTACAATGTGGTAGTTACTTCCCCTTACGGCCATCTACACTTCACGTATCCCATTCCAACTTGACGTCGGCGCTCTCGTGACTTTTTGGGCCTCAGAGGCTGGTGATCTTCCCCCAGTGCTGCCGGTAGCCCGTCCGAGGGGTCAGATCCTGAGAGAACGAGACGATGACTGCAGGATGGGCCCCCAGTGATGTTTGTTGGTTTAAAAGCGGAAATAGAATGTGAATATAACCATATATATATAATTATATATACACCATATATACCATTATAAACCAATATATGCCATATCTGGTTGGTGGCATACCAACTCTCTGAAAAACATGAGTTCGTCAGTTGGGATGATTAAATTATTAACTGAATGGAAAGTCATAAAAGCATATAAAAGCCATGTTCCAAACCACCAACCAGTTACACAGTTACACACGCTAACCCGCATTTATAGTTATATATCATGTTATATCTACCATAAATGGTTATAGATATAAATAACCCATAGTATATATCTATAAGTTGGTTTATAAACCTTCATAACCCCCATGAAAACTATAAATATCTATCATAAACCATAGAATTCAGCCACTTTTTTCAGGCGTTTCTGAACACGAACTCGACTGGGGGACCCCATCCTTTTTTCATCCTGTGTGGTGCCAAGGCGTTGGGGAAAACATGGGCTGGGCACCTGGGTACCCTGTTTTTGTTTTCGACATAAAATGGTGATCTAACTACATGTCAATGGGAATTTCAGGATCCTAAAATGGAGGTACTGTACCATATAAGGCCATATTTTGTGGGGCTATTCCCTCTGGTAATTTAACATAGCTATTGAAAATCACCATTTATAGCTGGGAAAATCCACTATTTCTATGGCCATTTTCAATAGCTTTTTGTATGTTTACCAGAGGGTAACTACATGGGGAGCTTACCAACACATGGTGAGAAAAAATGCTGACAGTAAATATGAATGGAATCTTCATGGGATATTGATAGACATAGACAACTAAACGTGGAATTAAACGTGGCTGGGACAGTCCTCAACTAAATATCTAATATAAAGAACTGGACGTCGCTGGGAAAATTATCCAGAAATCATGGATCTTTCAACTAGCCATAGTAATCAAGTAAGTACGTAGGAAATGACGATTCAAACTATTTCCAATGATTACCGGAATCACAATACTTGATTCAACTATCCAACTAGTACATAGTAACCATGATGATTACCGGAAAGTAGCTTCTGCAACGCCAATCAAAAACTATTCGTGATGACTTGGAGAAGCTGAGAAGCACTTCTACTTTCTCGGTCATTCCCCTGAATTTTAGGTAAATCATCAATCATCTCAATCACATTCCTCACTTCAAGACTGGGCAAAACAGAAGCGGGACATCCGATAATCCAACACCGCAAAAAATAGCACCCCCAAAACAAATAAAAACTGGAAACCTGAAAAAATGGGGCACACTAATATGCAAATATCATCTATACCATCCTGGAAATCGTTTTGAGACGTTTTGAGGTTGCGATAGATCCGATAGATCTTCTGGACTGGAAACACAATATAGCCAGTCCATCTCTCTTATGATCTGATGCTGTTCTAAGTTTTTGAATCATCAATCGTCTTTACCTGGTTGGTGGTATAATTACCTACCCCTCTGAAAAATGATGGAGTTCGGCAGTTGGGATCATGACATTCCCAAGTTTACCCTCAGACAGCATTGAATCCACACATTCCACAATTCTGAAGCACATCCATGCTCCGCCATGGCCATGTTTGCCGAAGATTGTAACCACCATCCCAATCTTTTCATAGGAAACGCATGGAGAAGATCATGAGATCTCCTTGAATCATCTTGAATCTGCAGTGTGCATAGTCAAATTCACTCTGTTTTTTCTTTGATCTGCCCTGATTTTCCATGTTCCGGAGCCAAGCAGCGCGTTTTGTTGCGAGGCCATTTTGTGGAAACGGGCTCAGGATTGAATTCTTGGGCCTGCAGCGAATCAAGGGTGATAGTTTCAGATTTTTCCAGGATGGGATCATCGTCCATAGATTCCAATAACAATACCAAACAATAGTAATAAGATCGAACAAATAGTGATAAAACATTTTAGTATGTAACATAAAAATTATAGTATGTATAAATTATAGTTATAAATTTGGTAACATATCATAATATAGTACGATGTTATCATAATATGGAAATAAAAATAGGTATCATAATTCATGTTATAACAATAATATTTATAATTATATAATATATAATAATAACACTATACTTGAGGCCGGGGGTGGATGACGAAAGCTAGCGGGGTAGGAGAAAGAAGGAAGG